AGTGTTGTCATGGTAATATTTGACACCTGGACACTGTCAGTGTCATCATGGTAATATTTGACACCTGGACACTGTCAGTGTCATCATGGTAATATTTGACACCTGGACACTGTCAGTGTCATCATGGTAATATTTGACACCTGGACACTGTAAGTGTCATCATGATAATATTTGACACCTGGACACTGTCAGTGTCATCATGGTAATATTTGACACCTGGACACTGTCAGTGTCATCATGATAATATTTGACACCTGGACACTGTCAGTGTCATCATGGTAATATTTGACACCTGGACACTGTCAGTGTCATCATGATAATATTTGACACCTGGACACTGTCAGTGTCATCATGGTAATATTTGACACCTGGACACTGTCAGTGACATCAAAGGACAACTGTCAGGTCTATGTAGATAAAAACAGGTGCTTTTTACAAACCTTGAGGGGCTGCGGTGGCTTCCAAAATTAGCATTCGAAATCGCTCCAGCATTGTGTTAGATGTGTTAACAGAACAGGGTGATAAGGAAGCAGTATAGACACTTCAAATTCTGTTTATCTTCGTATCTGATAGTAATCCATTTGTGGTTGACGAGAGGCAGTGTCCCATGACAATATCCATTGGAAAGGTTGTCAACACAGCCATAATTTAGTGATATACTAATTGAGTGAAAGAAGACTTCTATACTTTCCAGAACAGAACAACTGTTATTAATTAAATATGACTAATTTCATCACTCCACATCACCTGAGTGTTGGAGACATTTGTACTCCACCATGCAAACTCCTTTTGTAGTATGTATTCATTACCAAAAGCTAGATGAGAGCCGTTTTCTGATTGGTTGTTTCCCCTGGAAGTGATCTATGCTGTTTGAAATCAATATCACAGAATCTTATCCCTAGTGGATGACACTAATAGCACTTGTTTGCAGCATTGACTGCGATTCTCTTTTCGAACATGATGAGCTTGGGTATTGTCAGTGTTAACACTAGTCTTGAACAAGTTGGAAATGAGCAGTGCTAAAAGGAAATTGTGTGTTTAGTGGTTGTCTGGACAATGGAGGCCTGCAACAGTACTGACAACACTGTAGTATAGACACCACAGTAGTCTACCCTGGTCAATATCTAACTAGGGACCATCACAAATCAAACAGTATCCATAATCTCTTTAGAACTGGCTAGGTCATTGTGTGCATAGGAAATTGATAGTTTTGAAATAAAATATTCATAGTCTCCACAGTCTTCTTTGCGCATGTAACAGTTTCCAGCAAATATAATGGGTTTTTCTGGTATCAAATCACTTTTCTTTTAATTGGTTTTACCACCTGAATACCAGTGTAGCAGTGATGTTGGTCTCTTGTGTTCAAAATTTACATTCAAATCATAACAGTTCAGCATCTCAAAACTCTCTTTGATTTTTATTCTCATTTTTTTTTTTAATTTTTATCTTCTAATCAATTTTTCAGCTAAAGAGTTCCATTCCTTACTTTTCAGATATGTAATTTGTAAATCATATTTGGATTTGTTGCTATTATAACAGGCATTTGATCAGACAGAATTTGTTTGCCTTAACTAGGTATTTGTAAAATAAAATTGCCCTTGCTTTACCTTTAACAGAACATGATCAAAAATAAAAATTTCAAACGTAGGAAATACATTTGATTTAGTGATAAAATACTACCTGCTGGATGGCTTCCTTAGTCCATTCACTGCTAATATATCTAGGTGATAACCCAGCTACTGCATTTTGAAATTTATGACCGTGTATCATGATTATACTACCACAAATTGAGTTTTACTGGTAACGTAGCTGAAACAGTAAAAAGGCTCTATTTGCATCAGTATCATGATGATATATCAACAAAATTTTCAAAACACTTCGTGGAATTATCCCTATTCTAACATATACAGATTTAAACAAACAAAAACACAAGAATTAAGTGCTGTTCTATGCACAATTTCAGAATCAGGGTTTCCATACTCTGGAATATTCAAAATCAGCCGATCATGACCTTTTGGGGTTACTGATTATCCCTGATGTTATCTTATTGAACTAATACCTAACATGTAAAAGAAGACTAAGCTATTTCCCAAAATGTCTGTCTAGGTACTTAGATCAAAAAGGCCTCACAGTGGAATTATCAGTTTAAGTGAGATTTCTTGTATATCATCTGACACCACGTGTTTGGTAATACTTTTGAAAAAGAGATTTAAATCTATCAACTTCATATCAAATGATATATATCTTCAAAGGAAAACTTGAGGATAAATAAAAATAAAATGAAGTAAATTTGAATATCTTCATCAAATGGAATAAAATCATTCGCAATGACCGAACTTGGGTGTCAGTCCATGGGAGTTTTCTAAGGAAATGGGTGCACAGCCTGGTATAATCAGCCAAAGTAACATTAATCTCATTTAATCATTGCTAATGCTTGTGACCTCATCACGCCCTATCCAGGGACCTATTTACAGTCCTACCAACTAATTATCACTGTCGACATATTTATTACATATTCTGATACTGTAGATAAGAGATAATTCCCCTGTGCATGATTTGGTGATGAAAATGGTAATCCAACATTATACCTACAGTTGTCACTAAATACCAGTACAGCTGCCCAATGTATTGATTTCTGTTGTCAAGCCTGCTTTCATTGTTAGCTAACATTCATTAAATCTCAGCGCAATTAAAAAAATTGGTAGTCATTAAAAAAAATTCTAATGATGTCATCAATATCCCACAGACCATATTAGAGGTGTTACCTGTTTCAAATGTCACATTCATTATAGCAATATAAGGTTATATAGATATAGTATAGGGTTATACAGATATAGTAGAGGGTTATATAGAGTATAGGGTTATACAGATAGAGTATAGGGTTATACAGATATAGGGTTATACAGATGTAGTATAGGGTTATACAGATAGAGTATAGGGTTATACAGATATAGGGTTATACAGATGTAGTATAGGGTTATACAGATAGAGTATAGGGTTATACAGATATAGGGTTATACAGATGTAGTATAGGGTTATACAGATAGAGTATAGGGTTATACAGATATAGGATTATACAGATGTAGTATAGGGTTATACAGATAGAGTATAGGGTTATACAGATATAGTATAGGGTTATACACATGAATCAACCTTTATAACAATCAGTGAAGTTATCTCCCTTGTATTACAGTGTATAATACAGATATGATTAAATATTCTATATGAATTGTCTGTACAAGGGAACTTATTAAAGAACTGGTTTCCAGTACCTCAATTTACATCATAAAAAACCAGTCCATACTGGTATATCTACCAACCAAATCATTTACATATTAATTACCAACCAACTCATTTACAAATTAATTTAGTTGGTATGATATGAAATTTATCAACACAGACAGCCAGTATGGTACAGTGGACTACAAAGTTAATGTTTCAGATGCCGAAAGTGTGAATAATACATGTGTATGATGTTGAATGAGAGCAATGCTTTCAAATATAGATGATTTATCGATGAAAAATGTTATATATTTCACACCCAACAACATGTTCAGAAACTTCAATACTCTGATAAATCCTTTGATAAAACATTGTACAGAATAGATTCAGAGCTCTGAAATCTCTAACAGAAATTGTCTAATTCAGAGCTCTGAAATCTCTAACAGAAATTGTCCAATTCAGAGCTCTGAAATCTCTAACAGAAATTGTCCAATTCAGAACTCTGAAATCTCTAACAGAAATTGTCTAATTCAGAACTCTGAAATCTCTAACAGAAATTGTCTAATTCAGAACTCTGAAATCTCTAACAGAAATTGTCCAATTCAGAGCTCTGAAATCTCTAACAGAAATTGTCTAATTCAGAACTCTGAAATCTCTAACAGAAATTGTCCAATTCAGAGCTCTGAAATCTCTAACAGAAATTGTCTAATTCAGAGCTCTGAAATCTCTAACAGAAATTGTCTAATTCAGAGCTCTGAAATCTCTAACAGAAATTGTCCAATTCTGAACTCTGAAATCTCTAACAGAAATTGTCTAATTCAGAGCTCTGAAATCTCTAACAGAAATTGTCCAATTCAGAGCTCTGAAATCTCTAACAGAAATTGTCTAATTCTGAACTCTGAAATCTCTAACAGAAATTGTCCAATTCAGAGCTCTGAAATCTCTAACAGAAATTGTCTAATTCAGAGCTCAGAAATCTCTAACAGAAATTGTCTAATTCACAGCTCTGAAATCTCTAACAGAAATTGTCTAATTCACAGCTCTGAAATCTCTAACAGAAATTGTCTAATTCTGCACCAATAAAACCATCAAGCTATGTAATTTAACACAGCAGCTTTAATATTTAATTAGAATTCCTCAAAGCTGTTTTTCAATTCCCAGAAGTGATTAGATATCAATTGAACAGAACACAGCTACAGATTGTATAAGATACAGAGGTACAAATGATATCTAGGATCTATTTATAAAGAATGACAATGAAATATGTTCTGGGTCTCATTCATGATATTATGATATGTGTGATACTCTCTCTGAATTGATCCAAATCAACTGATTCACTTTGTAGTGTGTCTTCCTTTCTATAAAGGTGCCACAGCAAGAATGGTTATCAGAGATTTCACAAAGCCAATCGGGGTACTTAAACTAACAAAAGATGGAGTTTGGTATCACAACAGAGGTGTAACCACGCCCTGGCTGACCAAAGGTTAGATAGAGTTAACCAGTGAATAGTGAAAAAAATTTAAATTGCTACCACAGAACCAAAAAAAGTGTTAAATGCGAAATTCACACTAAAAACATATCAATCTGATCTGTCTCCATAAACCTAGAGCTGTAAAATGAAAAAGAATGGTTCCAACTTTGTTTGATTCATGTCTGAAAATTTTCATTAACTACTAGTTATCTCTAACCAGCCTTTGAACTTGGACCTGGCTACAATAGGATTATGTGATATTCTTCTTTTGATCAGATGCTTATGTAATTGGTACATCAGGACTCACCTGGATCTGCAATGACGAAAGTTTTACGTATGGATGCCTTGACCAGGTCTGCTCCTGAAGGCCAGCGCTTCAGTCCTGTGTTACTTTGCATTCCACCCTGCTGAAGCCATTTCAGCTGCCTGCAGACAAATAAACAGATTGTGTTTTTTATACTACTTATCCTGCTTTTGCACTTAAACCTATCTTAAACTAGTAAGGTATTTGAATGAGATTTTTATAAAAGGACATTAGATTCATCATGATTTCTTCTAGAGGCCTAGCAGCCTCAACATCACCCCAGGTAAGTTATACTGAATACAAGAGGTTGCTAAGCCTTGACATCACTTCAGGCAAGTTATACTGAATACAAGAGGCTGACATCACCTCAGGTAAGTTATACTTAATACAAGAAGCTGCTAAGCCTTGACATCACCTAAGGTAAGTTATACTGATAACAAAAGGCTGACATCACCTCAGGTACGTTATACTGAATACAAGAGGCTGCTAAGCCTTGATGTCACCTCAGGTAAGTTATACTGAATACAAGAGGCTGACATCACCTCAGGTAAGTTATACTGAATACAAGAGGCTGCTAAGCCTTGATGTCACCTCAGGTAAGTTATACTGAATACAAGAGGCTGACATCACCTCAGGTAAGTTATACTGAATACAAGAGGCTGACATCACCTCAGGTAAGTTATACTGAATACAAGAGGCTTCTAAGCCTTGATGTCACCTCAGGTAAGTTATACTGAATACAAGAGGCTGACATCACCTCAGGTAAATTATACTGAATACAAGAGGCTGACATCACCTCAGGTAAGTTACACTGAATACAAGAGACTGACAACACCTCAGGTAAGTTATACTGAATACAAGAGGCTTCTAAGCCTTGATGTCACCTCAGGTAAGTTATACTGAATACAAGAGACTGACATCACCTCAGGTAAGTTATACAGAATACAAGAGGCTTCTAAGCCTTGATGTCACCTCAGGTAAGTTATACTGAATACAAGAGACTGACATCACCTCAGGTAAATTATACTGAATACAAGAGGCTTCTAAGCCTTGAGGTCACCTCAGGTAAGTTATACTGAATACAAGAGGCTGACATCACCTCAGGTAAGTTATACTGAATACAAGAGGCTGTTAAGGCTTGACATCACCTCAGGTAAGTTATATTGAATACAAGAGGCTGTTAAACCTTGACATCACCTCAGGTAAGTTATACTGAATACAAGAGGCTGCTAAGCCTTGATGTCACCTCAGGTAAGTTATACTGAATACAAGAGGCTGACATCACCTCAGGTAAGTTATACTGAATACAAGAGGCTGTTAAGGCTTGACATCACCTCAGGTAAGTTATACTGAATACAAGAGGCTGCTAAGCCTTGATGTCACCTCAGGTAAGTTATACTGAATACAAGAGGCTGACATCATTTCAGGTAAGTTATACTGAATACAAGAGGCTGTTAAGGCTTGACATCACCTCAGGTAAGTCATACTGAATACAAGAGGCTGACATCACCTCAGGTAAGTTATACTTAATACAAGAAGCTGCTAAGCCTTGACGTCACCTCAGGTAAGTTATACTGAATACAAGAGGCTGTTAAGGCTTGACGTCACCTCAGGTAAGTTATACTGAATACAAGAGGCTGTTAAGGCTTGACATCACCTCAGGTAAGTTATACTGAATACAAGAGGCTGCAAGGTCTCGACGTGAACACATGATGCCAAATGCCAGACAAAAGGAGATTGTAATAATTGCGAATTCACAATTGACTTCATGGATAAATTAAACTGAATGGATCTTCTTCAACCTATTTCAACAGTTCATGAACATATAAATTCAGGGATTTTGAGTACTCACAAAATCATCAAAAATTAATGTCTCAGAAAAATTAATGATAAATGAATTTATTTGTTGGTCTGTACTTGCTGAGAAGCCATTTTAAAATGAAGTGTATAGACAAGCAAACATATGTTTTTATATTCTTTATTACAAACAAATTAGATCCCAAGGGGATCATGACATCCACTACTGTTTGGACTTTATTTGTTCTTAAATTTTGAGAAATTTGAAAATTCTCTTTAAGAAATAGATATAATAATCTTTATATATTGAATACTAGATGGTGATCTGTCGCTTAATTGGTTTTTCTGATCTGTCAAAAATCAAAAGGGCACAACTGCAGACCAAGGGGGATATCTGTATAAAATTTGAGAAAGATCCATCAAGTATTTCTCACGAAAAAGTGATAACAGAATTTTCATTGTCAAAATAAAAAATCACCACCAGTCAACCATTTTTTTTTTTTTTTTTTGATAAATCCCGAAAATAAAAGTGGCACAACTGGGGAGCAAGGGGTACCTCCATATGGAATTGTGATCCATCCAACACTTTTCAGGAAAACGTGGACAGCCACAAGACAATTTGAATAGCCCACCATGTGATGATATGATGCGCTAAAATTTCTTTAGCCTTGATGAACAATCTACTTTGTGTTTGACCCCATTGTGAATGTGACTTAATTCATGATTCAGAACACATGGCCTAGCTTTATTGAATATGACATTTTATTGACCTTAAACTGAATAAAGTTTGCTCTAGGACAATGAATTTGACCTGTAATGCCTCAGTGCTACCTTGACGCTGAGCTAAGTGATCAGAAATTGATATGTATGACTCAAACATGTCATTGGATTATAGATGGATGGCAGAACAGACAGCTTAAATTTCATAATGTTCTGTTGTTTATTCAATGAGCATAAAGTACAACATAAAACAGTTCACATTGACCAGTCATGACATCAGCAGTACAATCTCTCTGAATGAAAGCTGTACAAGTAAACGACCAGATATTTACTTATAATTTAGGTTATCATTTAAAGCTTTACTCTTGGGAAACTCATGTACATATATTAGATTCTGCTGTGGAAAAAAAACCACAAAGACTTTGAGTTGGTCTCTTCCTTGACCTTTGTTGAAGTCAGAAAAATCTTGGGAATACACCTTTTAATAGCTATCTTCCAACCAAACACTGCTTAAATACCACAAATATTATTTACCATTCTCATTCAAATTCCCAAACTGATCAAACTTCTGTAAAGTAATTTGGATTCCATTGTGGAAACAATACCAGAGTTCCTGACTTCATCAAGGCATCAATGCTTTAGTACATAAGATGTGTATGTATAAGCCAAACATTAACAAGGATGGAAGAGTTATACCCCCTGCACCCGATACCTGTAGTGCTGTAGATAACAGGTACAAATACTTTAATGGAATCTGTTTAGAGCTCCACTGAGCATTTACAATAACAAATCAATATTAAGGAAAAAAGTGGCAAAGCACAAAGCTTGTTTTTCATTCCCAAAGGTTGTACTTTTTTATACACAATAGTCACAGCTGATTCATCAACAGGACAACAATCTCTCTTCTTCAATCATACAGATTCAAGCTTCTAAAAGAAATACTATCAACTGAATGGGTTATCATTTATAATTGGCAGAAAAGAAGCATTTCATTCCAATTGCTTCAGATCAGAATCAGTTTTAGGGTAACGAGGATTTCCTACACATTTATGGAGCACGAACAATTTTTCAAGCTAGAACAACTCACACCAACCTTACTAAATTTATTTCATATCATTTTCGAAATGTCTATTGGTTTCCTCCAGTTACTACTTACAGAAAACATGTTCTATACATCTGGGATTTACAAATACAAATTGATATGATGAATAAGTGGATCCTTGACCTTCACATAGATAAACAGATCCTGGACTCCCTCCTTGATGAATCAATCGTGGGCCCTTAACTAGATAAATAGATCCTGGACCCCCTCCTTGATGAATAATCCTGGGCCCTTAACTAGATAAATAGATCCTGGACCCCCTTCTAGATAAATCCATCCTGGGCCCTTAACTAGATAAACAGATCCTGGACCCCCTCCAAGATCAATCCTGGACCCTTAACTAGATAAATAGATCCTTGACCTCATTCTAGATAAATTAATTCTGGGCCCTTAACTAGATAAATAGATCCTGGACCCCCTCCGTGATGAATCAATCCTGGGCCCTTAACTAGATAAATAGATCCTGGACCCCCTCCTTGATGAATAATCCTGGGCCCTTAACTAGATAAATAGATCCTGGACCCCCTTCTAGATAAATCAATCCTGGGCCCTTAACTAGATAAACAGATCCTGGACTCCCTCCTTAATGAATAATCCTGGGCCCTTAACTAGATAAATAGATCCTGGACCCCCTTCTAGATAAATCAATCCTGGCCCTTAACTAGATAAACAGATCTTGGACTCCCTCCTTGATGAGTCAATCGTGGGCCCTTAACTAGATTAATAGATCCTGGACCCCCTCCAAGATCAATCGTGGGCCCTTAACTAGATAAATAGATCCTTAGACCCTCGTCTGGATAGATAGAATCTTGGCCCTTGTGTGGATAGATAGAATCTTGGCCCTTGTGTGGATAGATAGAATCTTGGCCCTTGTATGGCACTTGTGTGGATAGATAGAATCTTGGCCCTTGCGTGGATAGATAGAATCTTGGCCCTTGTGTGGATAGATAGAATTTTGGCCCTTGTGTGGATAGATAGAATCTTGGCACTTGCGTGGATAGATAGAATCTTGAGCTTTGCCTGAAAACATCCTTGGCCCTTCACCTGAATAAATAAATCCTGGGTCCTTCACCTGGATAGATAAATCCTGGGCCCCTCATCTGGAGGAATAGATCCTGGCCTTGATGACCAAGTCCTCTGCCCTCACCTGAATAGATCCTTGGTCCTTCACCTGGATAACTAGATCCTTTGTCTAGATCTTTTGTCCTCATCTGGATGAATAGATCCCAGACTCATCTCTTGATGAATAGATCCATGGCCCATAAATTCTATAAATAGCCTGTTTGTCCCTGTCCTTGATGAATGAATCCTGGGTTCTCGCATGGACAAATAGATTGTTGTCTCCTTGCCTGGATGAATAGATTCTTGCTCCTTCACCTGGATAACTAGATCCTTTGTCTTCATTTGGATAAAGAGATCCTTGGGTATGCTGAGCATTGCTCACAAGGGTTGCATCAGAGATGTCAGAAAAAAGCATTATATGATATTTATTATTGGTTTATTTCTGATGTTTTATATAACTGGTAATGTTATCCTTTAATAAGCCCAGGGTCAAAAGTAGGGGGTGGGCTTACTACAAGGTAATGGTTTGTTAGTTCAGCAATAGGTATTGGTGGGTTTATTACCAGGCATGGGGTAAGTTTCCTAAACACTGTAATATGGATATCATATATTACTTACCTCTGTTTGTAACACAAGGAACACAGCCACTTGCCATTCAGTAAGGTCTCTTGACAAAGCTTGCACACTTTAAAATGACAAGAGGGACAAATCTCGCCTCTGTTGAACAGGAAGCCAAGTTCACCATGACAACGGGCACACATTTTAGACAGGTCATCCCCATCCCTAAGGACACTTTTCATTCGTATGGACTGGATCTCCAGCCGTAATTGCCTGTAACAAGCATAAAATTGTGAGTCCCCATGGCAACTGATGACAACTGTTGATTCAGTCAAACATATTTATCAAAGCTGATACAAAATATGATTCAAAGCTATCACCTTCAGTCAAAAGGAAGGGTAAAATTAAGGTTAGTAGTTGATGAAGGGGTCAGACATGTCCCTAATTTTCAGTTTTGTAGTGGGTCTACATTCAGTTTGATATATAGACAGGAAATATTCAATACTTCTCGCATTTTTATCCTCAGCATATTTCATCTTGACTTCAGACTAACTGAAATTTTCATACATATGATCCAGTACCTTGATAAGACAGGTAGTAAGAAGCTTTGATACAGGTCAACTTGACTAACCACATGCTTTACATGAGCCTTTGTGAAGTTCATGAATCCAACATGAATGAGGCAGGTCTGCTTACACAATCGCTTACATATGATAAAAATCATTAAGTGTGGTCTTGACATTGGGATCACATAAATGTTTGAGAGAGGTCTTGGTTTTTCATATTTGAAAATCAGCTATAGACCATCTTCAATAGCCAATATTTTGTATTTTGCAATAATTTTCTTTCAGTAAAGGCAATTTTTCTGGATAGGGCAGATTATGTGAGATTAAATATATCTTTATTAAAGTGTATTTAGTTTTATATTCATGTTATCTAATTTTTCCATTTCCATAAGGAAATGATATCATAAATCAGTACATCAAGACAATCTGAAAGTTTCTTGTGAGACCCTTGTGACCTTGACACTTTAGCAAGGTCATTCACTGACAAATTTGATATTCATATAATCCCCAACCGCCATTCTGGTGGAACTTGAAGTATATATCCATTCAGAGCCACATGCTAAAGGCTAAAGAAAATTTGAGACAAGGTGGGAGAAATAATAGACATAGCACCATGGCACGCACCTCAATTTACTCAGTAATTCGATTGTCTTTATCACATCACCTGACAACAGTACAGAAATCTATGTGGCTTATAACAGATGTTGTACATCAGGAATAATTTTTTCTTATAGTATTTATTTCAACAGTAGACTACCAGGGGAGACAATATACATTAGGTTACCAGGGGAAACAACTAACGGTAGGCTACCAGGGGAAACAAATAACAATAAGCTACCAGGGGAGACAATTTACAGTAGGCTACAAGGGGAGACAATTAATAGCCTGCCAGGAGAGACAACTAACAGTAGGCTACTAGGGTAGACAATGTACAGTAGGCTACAAGGGAAGACAATTTACAGTAGGCTACCAGGGTAGACAATTTACAGTAGGCTACCAGGGTAGACAACTTACAGTAGGCTACTAGGGTAGACAATGTACAGTAGGCTACAAGGGGAGACAATTAATACTAGGCTACCAGGGGATACAACAAACAGTAGGCTACCAGGGGAGACAATTTAGAGTAGGCTACCAGGGGAGATCATTAACAGCAGGCTACCAGGGGAGACAATTAACAGTAGGCTACCAGGGTAGACAATTTACAGTAGGCTACCAGGGTAGACAATGTACAGTAGGCTAGCAGGGGAGATCTTTAACAGTAGGCTACCAGGGGAGAGAATTTACAGTAGGCTACCAGGGTAGACAATGTACAGTAGGCTACCAGGTGAGATCTTTAACAGTAGGTTACCAGGGCAGACATTTAACAGTAGGCTACCAGGGGAGACAACTAACAGTAGGCTACCAGGGGAGACAATTAACAGTAGGGTACCAGGGAGACAACTAACAGTAGGCTACCAGGGAGACAATTAACAGTAGGTTACCTGGGGAGATAACTAACAGTAGGCTAACAAGGGGAGACAACTAACAGTATGCTACCACAGGAAAAAACTAACAGTAGGCTACCAGGGAGACAACTGTTAACATCATGATGATAATAAACCTACCCAATTTTCTGGTTCTCTGATTGGCGGAGGTTCTCATCACGTTTGAGGACATTGAGAATAACAGCACGCTCCTCCTCCGACAGACCATCCACATCAATTAAATTATCCATGGTCATCTTCTCCATGTTGTCACACCTTTGGACACTGGACACCTGGAGACTTAGGTGTGCTTAGTCCAGGTGTTCCTTCCTTCAGATGTTTGTTACTGAGAAATAACACATGTTTACCCTGTGAATAAAAGAAAATATGGATTTACATAGGAACAGTTATATAGAAAATGGTATCTATGTCATGTGCTTACATATATCTATTAAACAAAAGGTTGGAAAAACATACATCTGAGTAACACAAAAGGTGGAGAGTCCATATCTCCATGTTACATGGAAGGTGAGCAAGTCCATATATTCATATTACACAAACTGTTTGAGAATGTAAACTCCTAAACCATGTAATAAGTGTCAATATGGAGCTGTAAGGAACCTCACTGAACAACATAAGAAAGGCCCATCACATGCCATACAGAGCAATGAAGGCAAAGTCTCTTTCCCAAGGACACAACGATGTCAGCACAAACCAGTCTGTTACTGAGCTTCCTGAGAAACGCAAACCGCCTCTGATACGGAGTGTCAATTTACGTACCTCACCTGAGGTTACATAGGACAACACTCTAGCTGACTGAGTTTATACGGTTGTCACAGATTCCCTGCTGTCTATACTTCTCCTCACCTCAGGGCTTTAATCAAAACCTTGTGCCTATATACATATAGATAATGTAATCCTCTAATTGATCACAACAAGTCAACACATATCTATTCAAGACATGAAATTAAATAGATACACAATTAATTAAAATGTTGGGGTTTTTTTTATTTAGTACGGAAATTACTTCAGGTATTTTCATCCAAATATACTAACTCAATTAAAAAGCATGTTTAGATTTACCTATAAAATTACCTATCAGAGAAGAAATTCATGAGATGTATATATTTCCTTAACATCATTGGTGATATATCCATACCTATAGTCATATGTCGGGCTACAAACAAAACACACGAGTCTAATCAACCCTACATCAGGTTAGGACATGATTATGTAAGTAATATGAAATATCAATAAACATTACAGGACTTGATACAGCTGATATTCTGTATGTTTTTAGTAGTAATCTTATTTTAGCATTTTTGACATCAAAAGTAATGTACAATAATATGACGATGCTGATTGTAATTTTGGCATGTTGTTTGTATATCTACAAATAACTGTGGAGACACAAACCCATCATTGCTCTAATTTGCCAATTGGGCGCGATATCTAGAATTTTTACAGTATGTTATAAAAATGCACATTTCTTGTGCAGTAGTAGCCCCCTCGAGCTACACAGAAAGTCAGTAACAAGGGATTGTACAAAAGAAACCATTTTCTTAAAAAACATGAAACAAGCATATCCAAGTAGATTAGAAAACCTTGTGAGCTGTAAAAGAAAACATACAGTGATTAATCTAGACCAATTTTACTACCAGAAAATGGCTGTATTCCACAAGTGGTTTGTTTCCTCCTCTCAATATAAACAATTACTCATAAAGAAAATATACTGAAATCATAGTAGAAATTTCCTAATATAATAAAAACTTTCCCAAAAACAGAGCTAATTAATATGTTTTTATTTAACATGTTTTCAAATCATGCGATCATGAAAAAGAAATATCAGTCTAACCTCAGCATTGTCATATTTCATTCCTGTAATCTTCATGTATGTCATATTTATCCTATCTCACTTATTAACTGAATGTCTGAAATTCTTCCATTTCTCAAAATAACCTAAAAATTTACCTTCTTCCACAATGGGTAATATTTCCCAAACTCTAGATTAATCCATGACTTTGTAGCGTATGCCCCATTTCTGATGCAGCTACCATTGCAGCTACCACTTTATACAGCTTGGTTAATAAATCACAATGAAATACCGTATCCACCCCTGCATATAAATGACCATGTTACAATAATATTGCTGACATATAGTCTTCATAATAAACAGCAGGGTAACCGAGGACCTTATACAACAACATCATCAAAGCCTGATATATATAAGTAAATAACTGCTTACAATCCCAAAATTATTGATTACTGAACAAGTAAAATATTTCAAAGATAAACAAACACAGTTACTATTGCACTTCAAAAATCTTAATCAAATTCTTCATTTTTCATATCATAAATACTGCACAAAATAAAAACTTAATGGCTTTACGGTGATATTTATCTTTAAACATCTACCTCAGTGTAGCATCTGATACTGCTGATGTGGTAACATAGCCACAATTTGTATACAACAGCTAGGCCATATCCTGGTTCCTAACTGACATACGACTGTATATCACTTTCATTAACTGTGAACATAACATAGACACATTCTGTGCTACACAAATTTACAACCAAGGCATGAAACAAATATTTATAGAAAATAAAACCAGTTACCATTGGCAAAACAGAATTTCCCTCACGACTTCTTATATTAGTGGAATAGTTCTTATGTGTTCTTCTATTTTTAAAATTTCATTGGAGATCATGGTAGAAATACTGTTCATTTCAATTTTACTTGCCTTACAAGTAATTTATAGAAAATTTAATGTAAACATCAAACCAAATTATAAGAAAATTAATGTGTCTTCGTCATTATATAATGTTAAGAGAATCTCACTAGGCTAGAAACACCGGAAACATGTGAGAAACAAAGACACTTGTAATGTAATGATACTGTAGCATTATTGTTATTTTACTGTCAATATCATAAACATGATCAGATTGACTCGGACAAGATGAAATACACACATATTCAGTTCAATATTCAGTAAATGGTAGCTTTAGCCGTGTAAATAATCTCACATGTGACATTTGCATCCAGTTTTATCAAAGTCAGTAGAAAAATGATGACACTGGAATGATACCATGCTGTGTAGAATACCCATACAAGTAATACAACACTTCTCGTGCTATCCCTGAACACTGTACACTAATTAATCTACAGCTAGGAGCTAATGAGAACATGTCTATTGATTAAACAATACAACAATTAATTGTGAATAGAATCTCAGGTAAAATCCACATACAGCTCCAATCAAAATACTTCAAATTTCATAATAAAAGGTGGATCCTATTGACAGTGCTCTCAGTACCAGACAAACACTAATTTAGAGGACGGATGAGTGATGGGATGTGACTAGTCGATTGGGACATGTCCAAAGCCAAGAACACAATTGTACAGACTCATTATAGGCACATAATATTCAGCAGTACCAATCAACTGGCCAATTAGTACACCATTGTCTATGTACACTCAAAGGTCAAACAGAATCATATCCTCACCAATCCTGTTGACAACCAGTCTACTACAATAACTCCACATTCTGTGATTTTTCTCAGTTCTAACACATTTTTAAATTTGAGTAAATTTGAAACTTGTTCAAACAGTTAACTATCAGGGATGATGTTTAAGTGGCTAAATGTCAACTGGTTGAGTTGATACCAACACCAGACCCTGGGGACCAATATTTCTTGTCACTAGTGAGTTAATTTATGTACAAAATGTACACATTTTTTTTTTCTTATTTGAAATTAAAATTAGATCAATATTGTAATTACAGACAGAATGAAATAAAAGAGAAATTCATATTCTCTGTAGTGACAAAAGTACACCGATACTGAACGAAATACAATATATAGAACCCTGTGGGATATGAACATCTGTCTCCTATTTATTGCAGTGTGTCATTTGTAATGTTTTAAATATCATGTGAAGTGAACAAACATCAGGTATTTATCAAGGGCCCTTTTATGTTTCTAGGAAACATTTCAAATGACCTTTAGTGAGAAGTGATTCCTGACAGTCGAACATTCCATTATTTAAAGTGTACAATAAATGAATTCCTTGTTAGTACTTCTTGGTTATGGATTGGTTTGTAAATGGTCTAACCTGTATTAACCATGTTGTACATACCTCTATAAGAGATGTATTTGTCTCAGGGCTGAGTATTCCAGTAATTAACCATGAAGTTTCACCATAATTAGAATAATTTTTACACATCTTAGGCCTGAAGGTCAATATTGTCGTCATATTTATGTCTATACTTAATAAACTGACATATTCTGACAACAATAATTTCAAATATTTCTAGATTTATATCCCAAAAATTATATTTGCAGGCATACATGGATTTCATTACATTTGGAATGTATGCTAACTTGTGTATTCATATTCATGGGCCAAACATGTGAAAGCTATATCTAATAAAATGATACACCAATAAGACTTGCCTCAGTATCATAGACACACTCCCTGATCCCTGCCCAGAAAACAGTCTGACTCAGCTACAACATCAGACTCTCCTCAGTATCATAGACACACTCCCTGATCCCTGCCCAGAAAACAGTCTGACTCAGCTACAACATCAGACTCTCCTCAGTATCATAGACACACTCCCTGATCCCTGCCCAGAAAACAGTCTGACTCAGCTACAACATCAGACTCTCCTCAGTATCATAGACACACTCCCTGATCCCTGCCCAGAAAACAGTCTGACTCAGCTACAACATCAGACTCTCCTCAGTATCATAGACACACTCCCTGATCCCTGCCCAGAAAACAGTCTGACTCAGCTACAACATCAGACTCTCCTCAGTATCATAGACACACTCCCTGATCCCTGCCCAGAAAACAGTCTGACTCAGCTACAACATCAGACTCTCCTCAGTATCATAGACACACTTCCTGATCCCTGCCCAGAAAACAGTCTGACAGCTACAACATCAGACCCTCCTCAGTATCATAGACACACTCCCTGATCCCTGCCCAGAAAACAGTCTGACTCAGCTACAACATCAGACTCTCCTCAGTATCATAGACACACTCCCTGATCCCTGCCCAGAAAACAGTCTGACAGCTACAACATCAGACTCTCCTCAGTATCATAGACACACTGCCCAGAAAACAGTCTGATCCCTGACTCTCCCAGTATCATAGACACACTCCCTGACATCAGCTACAACTCTCCTCAGTATCATAGACACACTTCCTGATCCCTGCCCAGAAAACAGTCTGACAGCTACAACATCAGACTCTCCTCAGTAT